AGCCGAAATTGGGCGAAATTATTTTAAAGTTGTTTAAGTTAAAACAAGTTGATTCATATAGTTTTTTAATGTTCATGTTTATAAAAAATGTTGAGAAGCCCAAATTGTTCTAACTAGTTTGGGCTTTGAGAAAACAGTTTGGACCAGAAACTTTAATGCCAACAGGCAGTTTTTGTTGCATGTAAAGAAAGTGCATAACCGATTCCTTCTCTGGAACCAGTAGATCTTTACCAAAAACTTTTATTAACATATTCCATAAAGTTTACCAGGACATATATATGTGGTAGTAAACACATCCACTTCAATAATTTGCAAGGGTAAAAGTTACCCCAGACTTATTGGGGCATAGGCAATAAGATACAAATACCTAGTCAAAAATCTCCATCCAAATAATAATTTAATAATTTCTTTTATACTTACATTTTTATTTTCAAAATTTCTTGGATAATATTACCAACTTCTTTTAATGTGTGTGGATCCTCTTTGATAGTATGTAAAGTAGTGTAGAATGTATGACGAGCCATCCTTTTATCAGCATTTTGGTAATTATTGATTGTATGAGAGACAAAACGAGCAAGTGACCATTTATCATATGGAAAGAATTCAAAATACTTGTCATATGAAACATTGGTATAATTTAAAGAATTGATGCAAATAGTGGTGGCAGACATGTTGAAATTATGTGTATAGTTGTAAAGCAGAAAATCAATTAAATCGATTAAAGTAGTTAATGAAAGTATATAGGACAAGCAAGCTTTTGCCTTATAAAATTAAGGGAATGTGTTAATTTTGGTTGGTTGAAAAAAAAAGACATGTAGTACAGTTACCACAAAATTAAAGGGAGGACTGAATATCAATAAATCATTTTTCGACTCCACAATCATGTTTTAAGTATGGATATCTAACCAAGACATGGTAATCCAACATTGCCATAGATTCATCGGTTTATATGACCCATAAACCACAAGAACTCTAATACTAATCTCTTGTAAGATTCCTGACACCTTCAGTTTTTGTTCATTATCATCTATTTTTGTTAATACATCACTCACTGCATGATCAGTTAAACCTTTAACAACATATATGATGGCAGATTCCCATCTTCTATCATCAAATAAACAACTATTGCCAAACATATAGCATCAAGAGATTCTTCTAAAAAAAAAATTCTGAATTTTTGCAATTAAGGTGAACATAGTGTAATTTAAGATATATGGTTAATAGAAAAAAGTTATAGGTTAACAAAAGCAATGCATACTTTTCCTTTTTAAACGTTTTTTTTCCATGCCTTACTCTATATCCAAAGAACAAATAATGCAGAGAGATAAAGCAAGAATATATTTACACCAAAATTATTCAGGAGGTAATTAATTGAATTTGGTAAAATCATTCATGGTCGGACAATTTAACAGTATGTATATAAGATAACAAGTTTTTAAACGAAAAAATAACAGCGAGTTTCGTGAAATACAGATTATTATTGTGCAATGATATATTATAATAAAATTGCATGGCTTAATCATATACATATATATTCGTTCGGAGCATCAAAATTAGCACTGATGCAATCTTTAATAAAAATAGACTGTTTCATGACCAGATGGTGCATTGATCGAGTAGTCTAATATATTACAACAAAAACATATAAATAGACCCACTGTCCCACTCGTGGACCAAAAAATATGTGCATTGGTATTGCTTTTTATGTTGTATTCGAATTCGAGGGACGAGGGACGTAGTGCCAAAATTGCGTTCTATGTATGATTTGACTTTACGCGTTACATTCAAATGCAAGGTATCCATCTATTATATTCGTTCGGAGTATCAACATTAGACAGTCATATTATTATTATGTCAATATTTTTTTATTCGTTGCGTTGAGCAGAAAAATTTGTTTGTTTGTTTGTTCACATACAAGGGAAAATCGTTCACGAATTTAATAAATTTAATAAAGGATCCATCGCAAAGAAGAACCTTCATGTGAATCAAAAGTTATTTACGAATTTAGATTGTTGGAAAAATCAACAAAGCTTTTTTTTTTTTAATCAAAAAAAAGATTTTTTCAAGTCTATCGCTATAGAAGAATAATCTTCGTACAAACATCAAAAGTTAATTACAAATTTCAATTGTTAAAAAAAAAATCTACAAAGCTTTTTTTTCTTAATAAAGAAAAATCTTTTGCAAAAGTTTTCTTATCCAGATAAAATAATAATATAAACTTTTCCTATCCGGATCATCCACAATCAAAAAAAATTTGTACATATTGTTTGTTTATCGATCATTGAATTGACCAATAATGACAGCAAATAAAATGTAAAAAAATGTTTTTAATCCCGGTCTCGTGACCAGAAAATATCACTAACACGTTGTGTGACAAGCCGAGGTAGGGGTTCCAAGACAAGACCATCAGTTTTTGGTCATTTTGAACGTGAGTTTTTTCTTTATCAATTAAAAGATACCAGTTCGGTCTTTTTATTTATAATTTCTTCCTCTGTTTTGCTCGGAGTAAGACGAAGACCTAACGGTAGACAGCGGCTGACACTACGCAAAAAAACATCTAAAGCGAAACACGATTTCCTTTCAGTCAAATATCCGTTTCGCTCAACACTGACATTTTGAACCAAAACAGAAAGTTTCTCGGTTTCACAAACAGATAACAGTTGGAATTCACACGGTACGGTGACGTAAAATAACCACAACCATTTATCATTTTGTGGAAAACGAAAATATTTCTGTTCAGACTTCAAATTTATTAATTAATCAATTTGCAAATCATTTCTAGCCAGAGCAACAAAGTTTTACCTTTGATTTTGATCTCATCCTTCCCCAAAAATTCAATTTACCAAAGTTAAGAAACAGGACGTTTAGAATATTCGTGGTGATTCGTACCGTAACTCAACTGAATCTATCGTTACAAGTCTCCACGAATCTTCTTTACAATTAATATTAGACACTGTTTGCTTAGGCCGGATATCTTCTTTAGTGCTAGTAATAGTAAGAAATAGAATGAATTGATCCACATGTCCTAAACTAGATAAATAATAATCATTGTCACGAAATTGTCATCACTACAATAATAATCATCATTACTGTATTATCTGGAATACCATTTTGGCTGATGCATAAAGAAATTGATTGGATAATTTTATTATTGTTAATAAATTTTAATACGTCTTTTTTTATCTTCAAAGAATTCAAGAACATAAAGTTATCATTTTTAAGACGATAAAATGTAAGAATTCATTGGCAGTATTTCTATACATCTAATTCATCAAAACACTCGTTTAAAAATTACTATAGAATGTCGATATCCATACCTTCCTTTTGTCTAGTATATTTAAGCATGCTGCAATTATTCCTTTACACTATAGAGTTATAAATTATTTTTAATGTTTATAAAAAAACGCGCCTTTCACATGTCGGCTCGCTGATCTTTTTTTATGGCTGAGTTGTTATAACAAAAAAAGTTAATTGCGAAACAAATAAATAAAGCACTCTTCATCTAACCTCTCCATTTTTCGAATTAATTGACATTAATATTAATATTAATATTAATATAATAAAACGTTGCAAAGTCAGGTGAATGAAATTTCTGTTAATCAACCAATCATATTATCAATCAATAATTTGTCCCAATAAATTCTTCAATCATCCAGCCATCCTTTATTTATTTATCATTTGGTTTGGTGGCAACATTTTTCATTACATGTGGTGGACAAATTATTAAAGATGATTGTAATATTTTAATTTTATTTAGTGTTTATTATGTTCATTATTTACAAATAATATTATAATATCAAACTTTGGGGGACATTTTCCTTTTTTTTTTGTGAACAATTTTAATTTTGTGATTACTTGGCAAGCTCATACTCCAATTCGCATCTTACAATTCCTTTACTAATAAAAGAACCTAATAGCATAACATTTCTTTTTCTATCAACAGCTGCCACTGTAATGTGATTAAAAAAGCTTCCATCATCTTGATACACAATTTCTTTAGAGTATTTTACGCCGTAGAATTTATCTTCATTTGTATTATTACTAATTTTTACGATTGCACTTGGTACATGTGTTTCACCATAATCCTTTAAGAACATGACGACTGGTATAAGCTTTGGGAATGCTTTATTATTTTGAAGTAAAAAAAAAAAAAAAAGTTTATACAAATATTAATAATTAAAAAACAAATCTTAACCAATCAATCAACACATATGTTTAATAAACTTGATACACTTACTAGCCAAATAAATTTCACCAGTAATATCATCAACACTAACATTATCCGTAGCATCAGTTTTAACAGTGTCCAATAATTTGAGTTTGTTGTCATGTTTTCGTTCATATATAAACAATTTACCACCTGTAGAAGTTCCCAGATAAATACGTGAATTGTCCCAATTACCATTTATTCCATTAGGATAACTAATTTTATCTGCAACTATTTCCGATTTATTATTAACCCCAGAATAAAACACAACATTTGACCATGGACGACGTGTAATAACTATATATATATATATATATAAGGGAAAGAATTAAAAAAATTGTCCACCAATAACCATTGATGATTATAATTATTAAAAAAAAAAAAAAAAAAACAAACGTTCAATTTCTTTTTTAAATCCTTTTCTGTAGTATAAATCATTTGTAACGTAGAATTCATTTTTAGAGACAGGTAAAAGATTGTTTGGTGAATGAATCAAATCATCTTTGATGGTTTCCAAATGTTGTAATTCTTGTGACCCAATTCTATGATTAAAAATCTCAATCACGCTTCCTGATCGTTTATGATTAATCAGAAATATGTATAAAATGTTACGATGAGCTGGGTCTTGATAAATTCCTAATCCGTGAAGAACCACATCCTCATTATCAGGATAATTTTTAAAACTGAGTGGTAACAAAAGTTCTGACTGATTGTGTTAATAGGGGAAGGAAGGAAAAATAGGAAAGAAGGAAAGAAAAATCAAAGAGAAAATAATTTTAGTTAATAATAAAAATAAAGATTATTCATATATTCACATATTCATTCATATATACATCAATTTTGTAGACGAAGACTTGTTCTCTATATTGAATACTCTGATTTTTAAAAACTCCAGATGGTGGATACCAATGAGTTCTTCTAAGTTCCGAATTGCCACAAGCCATAAAAGCATATCCACTTTCATGATGAATTACAATATCTTCACAAGCTTCTAGACCTTTTTCTTTCAATTGAAAAACAATTCATACATATAATTTCTATTTCCTTTAAGAAAATTACCATGATAATAATAATAATATTTATTAATCAAACCTTCTATTTTTCTACACCTGTCACCAGAATAGGCTCTTGGTTTTTCACTAAACAACCCGAAAAAAGAAAGGTAATCATAAACAGAATTATACGAGAGTGCAATTATCACGATAATGATAGCTAAGAAAATGGTTGTTCTGTTTTGCATTTTTTTTTCACTTTTTTTTAGTAAAAAATAAAATTTGAAAGGCGTGTGAGAAATAATCAATCGGGACTATGTGTAGATAACATTTTATTTCCATTTTTGATTAACCTTAAAATTTTAATTTTAGATATTGACCCACAAAACAATTTTCTTTTATAAGATAATATAAAATCATGCACAGCTTACTCATTGTTGAATGCAATACCTAGTTGCTCAAGAAAGAACTTTTTATTGTAATTAATGTTACACGTTTAATCAAAGTAAAAGAGAATTAGGCAAAGAGTAATAAAAAATGAAGACTATTACTATTATTATCTAGAAATATAGTTTTCTTTGACCGTTCGCATTAATTATCAAAGAATTCAAACGAAATCAAATTATTAAAATTTAAAATATGTTAAATAGACATCATTAATAATCATTAAAATTTGAATTTTTCGGGATTAGATTCTTGATATTCTCCACGACAGCATCAATATTTGAAAAGTTTATGGAAAATGTTAAAGATAGTAAACCTCTTGGACGTAACAAACTGATCAAGTTAATTTTATAATCCAAAGTATTTAATAAAATTAATTTATTTGTTGCTTCAAAATTTGGAAACGAGGTTAGACTTGCAACAGACTGTCATCAATGAATAACTGATGATTGAATTGCTTTGATTCTAGGAAGTTTGATAAATTTCAATATTAACACCTTGCTTGATTACAACAGTTAAAAAATTTTCAGAGTACATTATAAATATTTGATAATAACTCTGTTTTCATTTTATTAAAAAAAAATATGATGAAAGAAGACGGCAAAAGGGAAGCCGTATAAATGAAAAAACTTTTTTATATGTTGATTGATTTTCAGATGAAAATCATAACAAATTTTTGATTGTAATTTTCTCCCCCAAAAAAATGCACGAAACTGATCGAAACAATGAAGTAAGAAATATTTTATTATATATATATTGTTCGTGTGATATTTTATATTCACATATTCTATCTATATCTATAATTATCCAAGACAAGTAATAATGATTACCTGGAAAGTTGCAAAACAAGGCAAAAAACTCTAAGAAATGAAATTAACAAGTTTAAAAATGAAATGAAAATAATAAAAATTAAAAATACAAACATTCGTAAAAAAATCAAAGAAATCCGAAACAAAATAAAAATCAATTATGAAATCAAAGTAAAAATCCTTTTTTTTTTTTTTTTTTAATTTTCATATGACTATTATTATGATAATAACTATAATAATATTCTTTAAATTTTTAAAAAAATTCAGACATTTAATCAAATCCCGCAAACTAACATTGAGAAATCGATGGCAATGATGTCTATTAATGATTGTGATTGTAATTGTGATGTGATTGATTGAAGAACGAGTGTAAGTGATTAGGAAATTTGAATTAGTGATAATAATATCATGAATGAATGAATGAATGATGGATAATATATTTTTTTATTTTATCATCTAATCAACTATTTTATTATTATCAGCCTTTATTTATTTATCGTAGTAAAGCGCCATATGCGCATCTTTTATAGTTAGTCCACACTTCTCATAAAATGGAATATTTTTCTCATTACAACTCAAAATGATTTTATAACATTCTAGTTTATTTCCCAAGTATTTTAGCTGCTCAATTATCCTAAATAAAATAAAAAAATTTATCATCAAAGATGTTGTTGGAAATACAATAATCCCAAGATTATGAATATTTTACCTTTTACCAAGACTTTTGCCTCTCTGTGAATCATGCACAACTATATCTTCAATATGCCCCACCTATCAATTCAATAGTGGTAGTATATATATAGGAAGGAGATTTTATAGTCAAGAGTATTCATAGTGAATAAATTAATCAATAGGAGGGTAGGTAAATCAATTGAGCAATAATAATATATATATTTATACCTTTCCACAACTTCTTAAAAACTTTAATTCGACCAACAATGTTCCAACACCAACAATTTTTTCTTCTTCATTCTCAATCACAATTATATAATATCCTTTTGAACTTTTCATTTGATTAAAATGTTCTATATAATAATAATAATAATTGTATATGGTTATTGTTAATTTGATTCCAAGGAAAAATAAAAATCAAGTTACTAACCAATAAATTGTTCTTTAGAAGGACTTCCAATGACTGAAAGTTGCCCCAGACATTCAATTACTCCTATATTTGAAACATAATAATAATATATCATTTCTATTTCTAATATTATTTATTTTCTAAATTAATTTTTTTACCTTTCTCAAAATCATTTTTTGCCAAAGGCCTTAATTTATAATTTATTGGTAAAGAATTTTGTATTTCGGAGGAGATTAATGATTGTTCAAAAAGATATTCTGGCATTTTTTTTTTTTAATAAAATGACGTGAGAATTAATTTGTATTACCTATCACTATATTTGAAGCGACGTTAGCATAATTCCATGCATTTCTTTGTTGCACATGTATATTTTTGAATCTTATAAGAGATTTGATTTAATCAATCTCCAAATATTAACTCTTTTCAATAAAACCTACCAAATACAAATGAATTCTTTATAAAGTTGTTCTCTTATTTCTAATGCCTTTTTATCTTGATCAATGTCAGTTCGTCGCCTAACATAAAGTTTCTCAGTTTGTTTTGCAGTGATTATTTTGCAGAATTCATTATCTGTAAATGGTATAATTTTTTTTTGAAATATAAAAAACCATCAATGAAAAATTTTGTTGTTACACGGTTAAGATCCGCGAGTATATATACTACCTAAAAAAAGAAAATCATAGAATGATGCAAATTGCATTTGGAATTTTTTGTTCTTTGTTAATAATGCATCTCTCTCATGTCCAACCATGGAAAAATAAATGCTACGATAACGAATAAAGTACTTGCGTGGTCGCAGAAGGAAAGCCCAATACTACTAAGCTCAACATATTAGGTATAATATTATTTGTTTTATTTTTTAGAAATGATTTTTAAGAAACTCCACAACTTGGAATTGTATACAATCGGGAAGGGAAAATAATCATGTGTGGGAAAGGTTTAATAGAATGTTTTATTTCTGTGAAACTATAAGCTCAATGTCATTTGGATTATTGCTCAATTCTGGATGGTCTTGTAATATTTATTTTCATGGGCAATATTAATCATTTATAATGCCAAACAATAATGACATCAAATGAAATGTACTCGGTAATTACACAGACTGCACAGCGCAGAGGTTATGTAGAGAGAGATGCAAGAAGTTGCACTGTATGTATATTGGGATATCAAAAATTTCTAATGGCTTGATAATTTAATTATTTACAAACAAAATACCATTACCACCATTTTTCGCTAATGATTTTTTTATCATCAACGCCAGTTTCTTTCAACCAACTAATAATATCATCTTCCATTTGGCTAGGTCCACATATAAAACACTTGAAACCGTTTAAATCATCATTAGTTTCTTTCTTCTCCTTGTCAATAACATCTCTTATAATCTGTTTGCTGATTCTCTGTCCATAAACAGTTTTATTTTCCGTAGTGATTTCATCTACTCGATTAGGTGGTGATAGAGATGATGATAAAGATGATAGATCACCATCTTCTCTAGTTAAGAAACATTTACAATCCAAAATATGTGACGATTGAATTCTTATATTTTCAATTCTATTGTAAAACAAAAGCTCGTTAAACCGTCTTGCGCTATATAACAATTGAATCCTATTGACAAATCCATCATCATTATCTACACCACCAATTCCTTTGATATTTTTTTCAAAAATCGATTGTAACATGCTCATCAATGGATTGATTCCAACACCACCAGCAATGAACAGAATGTTATTTGTGGATTTTTCTTTTTTGTCATCCCAAACAAATTCACCACCAATTCTAACTTTGACAAAATCGCCTATTTTTGATGACTCGTGAAACCATTTTGAGGGAGGGTGAGATGAATATTTTATCGCTAATTCGAATAACGAGGTTTTTTTATAGTATAGTGGGGTAGATGTTATTGTAAATCCGCCTGTTATTGGTATGTTTGGTATAAAAACATCCACCCATTGGCCTGGTAAAAAATCAAAATTTATTATCGAAGAAGACGATGATGATTGAGGTTTTAATAAAAAGCTTTTAACCGTTGGTGTTTCTTGGGTTATTTTAATAATTTCTGATAAGATAATTGACTATTAATTTGATTTTTTTGTTTTTTTTTATTTTGATTAATTATTATAAATAAATATTCTAAATTTAAAAAAAAAAAAAATTTAATCCATGAAAATTAAATTTACCTCTTGTCTTTCAATATGTTTAGTTCTTTCAATGTGTGTTGATTTTGTGTCCATATTAATAAATTTACAAAGTTTAGTTTTCAAAAATAATAAATTTTGTAATCTTGTACAATGATTTTTCAACATTGCAAAAAAAAAAAAAAATATATATTTTAAAAAATAACAACCACATGCCAATTTTGTCATATTATAAAATGCATGTGACCACGACCTTCTAATTAAAGTATTGATAGTAATAATAATAATAATATTATTATTATTATCTCAGATTAATTTCGAAATTGACTATGTGGGAAAATATCTTACCCGTTGCATTGTCTTATTCAAGAAAAAAAAAAGTTTTTCATAATCAAAAATCAAAAGAATTTGACACCAATCTTTGCTTTGCGTAGCTCTGTACTAGGATCCATTTAATTATGGAATAAATAATATATCAACACGTCGTTAATATATGAGCTATAATATTTCGAGTTCGAAGAATTGTGTCTAAGATCTCAAATTTTGGCAAATTCGTAGGATCAGTTGATTTCATACAATCACTGCACTATGTTTCGCAGTTTTGTTTCAACAAAATCTACTTTTTTACGCAAATAAATAAATAAATGCAGCTACAATGATTAAATGCAAGATGATAGGCAATTTTGAACATCTCTTTGTGATAAAAATTGTCACGAATTATTACTGAGATGGCAAAAGGTAGAAGTAAAAAAATAATATTAGATGCTTTGGCTAATATGTTATTTATTTGATTCGCAGAGGATTCAACATAAACCCGTTATGTAAAGTTCATACAAAAAATATCAGAAGCTTTTACGCCAATCCCTATCCATAAAACTGCTATAGTTGGCAAAAGGTCAATTTTCCCAACAATACTTCCAACAACATTCACACAGTTATGACAAGATGATACTCTTTGTTACTATAAACAGATTCTAGCTATTCTCATTATAATAGCAAAAATTCGAACACCAAAGACAACACAATTCAAAATCAATACATATTTATTGGTTGAATTTCATCTATGATGTATATTTTATCGACAATGAATGTTGATCCAATAAGTGGTAAATACAGTGGGTACGTACAATTTTATGGTGATTATTTCTGAGGCTTGAGGGAAGAAAATACCCACGAAAGAATTAGTACAATTATAGCGAAAATTAAAGTCCGATGAATATAGTCTTCAAAGTAAACTTTATATAGGACCGGGAAAACTCTATTGAATGTGACCGCCAACACTATGATTCGAAAGTACTTTAAAAAAAAAAAATGTGACCGCCTCACTATAGATTCGATTAATGGAAAATGGAAAAGGTCACTGCCTTTATATAATTCGAAGGAAAAAATGTCCTCGGTAACTAGGGGTTGGCACCGTTAACCGTTTAACCGTGGTTAACCGGTTAACTGCAATTAAACGGTTAACCGGTTAAGATCTTTTTTTAACCGGTTAATTCTTTTTGATTAACC